CAGTTTCTCAATTTTGTAAACAAAAATAATGCTTCTATAGAATTCTTTCCTAACTTTTTCCTTGTGAAGGATTTGAGTACGGGGGCATCCTTGGTCCGATGCCGGAATAAAGCCAATATTTATGAGTGGCCATCTTCATCATCACCATCACATATTTCCTCTCCTACTGCATTTATCAGTTCCGCCGCTGTCTCCTCCGATTTATGGCATCGCCGTCTTGGTCATCCGTCTTCAATAATTCAACAAAAATTAGTCTCTAAACACTCTCCCTATTTTAAATTCTGTTTCATCTCATTGTGACTCATGCCTTTGTAATAAAAGTCACAAACTATCTTTTGGCCTTTCATCTGTGCAATGTAATTCTCCTTTAGAAATTATATATACAGATGTTTGGGGTCCTTCCCCCATTATTTCTTTTGATAATTTTCGATATTATGTCATCTTTGTGGACTACTATACTAAATATACATGGTTTTATCCAATGAAACAAAAATCTGATGTATATCATATTTTCTTAAAATTTAAAAAATTAGTCGAAAACTTCTTTCAAACAACCATTAAAACACTATACTCCGATGGTGGAGGTGAGTTTCAAGGTCTGGCAACTATTCTGTCCAGCTTTTGTATTCGACACCTAAAATCTCCTCCTTATACACTTGAATTAGTTGGATCGGCTGAACGAAAACATTGCCATCTTGTCGAAATAGGCCTCACCATCCTTCATCAAGCATTTTTGCCTCCTCGTTTCTGGTCAGTCGCTTTTCAAACTGCTGTGTTTCTTATTAATCGCATGCCTACACTAGTTCTAAAATCTCTATCACCATTTGAAAAGGTATTTCGAAAAAGTCCGAACTATCTAAAGCTCAAGGTTTTTGGTTGCCTCTGTTATCCTTGGTTATGACCCTATACATCTCACAAATTAGAACCAAGGTCTAAGCCTTATGTTTTTCTCGGCTACTCCCTCCCACATAATTCCTATATTTGTTTTGATCCATCAACTCAAAAATCTTTTATTTCTCGACATGTTATATTTATTGAGAATACATTCCCTTTTCAAAATATATCTGTTGGATTTTTTGATACCCAATAAATCCGAGCGATGATGTTAAACCGGTTTATAGTTTGGATTAGATTTCATAGGCCTCGGCCGATGATTGAATTGAAATGTCGACACCACAATGAACGAACTATTCGGACAAC